TGCTCAGAGGGGCCTCATGCCCCAACAAAATATATAGTTATAGAGAATTCAAAGCCAGCAGCTCATCATAAGCATGGACTTGGGGCATGAGCCACAGTGTGACAGCAGATCTCCCACCACCACTCTAGAGTTTCACCACCCATAGAAACAGAGACAAGCTCAAGTTCCCAACCTGAAATAAGTGTACTCAGTCATCACCATTAGAATTTATTTTTTTCCATAACTGTGCAGTTTTTAAAATTCTACAGTAATGATGAAGTCATAGGCTACTATGTTCTTTAAGTGTGGAAACAGTTTTCAAAAAACAAAGACCATGCACTACAAGTGAGGAACAGGCCATTGACTCTTCAGCTGGAATATACAGACATTTTTCAATAAATACTGATCACTTCAACACTTAAATGGAATGACATGTTCAGATTTCTACACAGTTCACTATGAAAACAGCATGGTAAGTTACATAAAAGCTTCAACTTTAAGGATCCTTGCTTTTTTGTTAAATTAATTACTTTATTAGAAAAGAGAAATGCAGGAATATTTGAAATGGAGTGTCACCTGGACAACTTCCCCTCCCCCCACTATTGTTGGTAAGCTCCTATTATCAAGATAATTCCAGAGCTGGCAGTTAAGTTAAAATATATATAAAAGAATCCCCCACACCACATTCAGGAGTTGTTACAGGCAAATATCTTCATGAATTTGGAATGGGTTTTCAAAAACTGTATCTTAACATTTATTGCTTTTACTTGTAAACCTGATATCCAGTTTATTCCTTTGAAGAGTGTCAGAAGTACAGAGTCAGAGAGATGCATGTTTTACTTATATCTTTGCATTCTGGTTAAGAAGAAAGAAAAAGATGCCCCATGCTCAGGAACACACATACACCTCCATCTACAAAACAGCCTAGACAGACTCAAGTGGAACAAGGTAAGTCCTAAAGTAGCAGTACTTAAAAATATCACTGGGGTAGAAATGTAGCTCATCCAACAGATCTGAAAACTTCTTTTTCCTCCCATGCTTGGTCATAGTTTAGCCTGGCTCTCCTGCAGAGGAGAGGTTTCTATAGATGATGATTTTGGAGAGGACAAAGGTGCATTCTGCTGGAACTGCAAGAGGCACAGGGCCAGATACATATTCTTCATGCTTAGATCTATTTAGACTGTTTCCTGGAGGAACGTGAGGTGAGGACAGGGACCCCTATTCATTACAAGTATTACACAGTTTTACCGCTTGCCAGTTAAGCCAGCAACGTGGTCTCCATACAGACCACTCAAGTGAGAGATCTGGAGGATGCAAGAGATACCTACTTCTGATACATTCCAGCTCACCTTGAACATTGCCAGCCTGAAGGTGCTACTCGGCATAAACCGGCTAACTGCCACCATGTAGAACTGAGATGAAAGGGGTGTTACTCAATACTAACAGACAAATTTGCTGCAGGACGGTTTGAGAGACTGCATTCCATTGGTTTCCATCTCTTCCTCCTCTATCCCCCAGAAGAAAAGACAAGCAAACACATTTAAGTTAGTATGTATTTGTGTAAACACCAGAACATTTTGCGATACAATAGAAAAAAAAGTTGCAGCTCGTATGTTCTTAGAAGAGCCCTGAAGACCTTGGGATACCTGTATCTTGCAATTATTAATCTGTACCATGTGCATTTCCTGTTTTGTACACAAACTGCAAGCAAGCTTGAACAATAGTAAATAGCAACTACACTCCTGCAACAGGTAAAAATGCTGTGTTGCAGCTGCTTACTCCTTCGCTTTAGATATGTAGTCAGCCAGTTTGTTGATACTATCCTCTTGCTGTTCTAGAGCATCCAGTATGATGCCCATCGGGGTCTTCTTCAAGCCTATTCCTTCCATCTTGTTCTCCAGCTTGTTCTTTATGTTCCGGAGCCTTAGAGAAGCGTGGACAAACATCACTGCATGACAGAAACGCACTTGTTAATGCCCAAGGAATGCATAATTCGTACAACATTCATCTTAAGACACACTCCAACGCCATGACATCACTGGAAGAAGACAAAGTCTCAAAGACCACTTAAGTAACCACAGGTACCCATTTAATAATAACTTTTGTGACCCCACCTCCCCCTTTTGTTTTGGGATCACTGTATATAGAAATAGTAAAGGCAACAGACAATTTAGACTTTGCAGACTTATTTGAGAAAGCTCAAGCTACAGGCCCTAGCCCCCAGAGAAGAAGAAAAATACTTACAGAGGAGAGGAAGTGTGATCCCGAACATGAACACCATGACATCTCCCAGATAGGAGATCAAGAAGTAGCTAGACAGCATGATGACCACTACAAATGTGGTTGGGTACTGCTTCTTCAGCCTGCGGAGTATATCCTTGTTGTGCGATACCCACACAAACCCCATGAAGACCAGCACCACCACAGTGCCACCAATGAACATATTCAGGGGACTCAGAAATCTGGAGAGAAGAGAGGGGGGGAAAAAAAAAAAAAGAAGAAAATGAGCTGTTTCAGATCCTCCATGACTTGTGTCAATATAGCAAACATCTGTCTCACTGGTAACTTGTTTCTAGGGAGGTAAGGTGTTAAGAAGTCAGTTGTTGCTGTCAAGACCTTTATCAACCTCTGATTTTTTGGCAGAAGCTAAAAATAAAGCAGCAAGTGCAACTGAACAAGCACCACTTAGCAGTGAATTTAGATAATCTTTGTCTTTATAATTAGAGTTTCTGCAGCAGCTCATGAATAGAAGCATTGACCACCCGGACCTCTCCTACTTCTGCAATCAACGCACATGCTTGATATCAGACCCAGAGTTAGCAAATCCCAAGAGCAGATGGAGCCAACAATCAGTTGCCCAAGGGATTGATCTTCTCCCTACAGGTGACCAAAACCAGGCTCAGCCTAGGCCTTCAGATGAACTATTCATGTTATCTTCCAGGTTTGAAAAATGGCAAAGGTAGGGGAACACCGAGTAAAGGAAGTTACTTGACTATTTCTTATTTCTGAATAAACCTTCTCACTGGTTTACACCTAAACAAAATAATTTTATGAACCCACAGAAGGAGCTTACTGCCTTCAGCACAAGAGATGGGGACCCAGTCCCAAGCAAGTGTGCCTGAGAATCAGAAGGAAGTAGAGTATGAGACAGAGGTCTTTCAGGAATAAGAGCCAGGCTGGGCAAGAGGGTGACTCCGAGGTTTGTGTTCTATTATTGTTATTGGAGTTACCAAGCAAACCAATCCATCGAGTGGATCAGCTTTGGACTATAAACAGCAAGTCCCTTTTTTGGACCAGGGCAAGGACATCACCTGCTCAAACCACTTTCACAAGTATTTAGAGCTTGTTTAGAGTTGGACTTTCAGCAATGACTTTGCTCAGCTTGTTTCTGTACTCACACAAAGTCCAGGCTCTATTATATTTCACTTATATAGGAATAAGCTATGTGATTCCATGTGCATTCTGATCTACTTGCTTGTATGTGCTCTGATCTAATTACACAGCAGCTGAGGGCTCTGAGCTGCTACAGCCATGACAGCAGCATCACACTGCACTGATAGAGCCAGATGTAGTCAAGATTTCCTCTTGTAGACTTTGCAGTCCGTCTTACTGTTCCAAAGCTAACAGGCACAATGACTCATCACTCCACCCCACTGCTGAAGAGGGTACTATGGTTTGTGCTTCATATCCGGCCCAGGGAGAAGAAATCTGTTGCTGGACTGGTATGCCAACACTCTACCTGCAGTGCCAGAGAGCATTTTCCTAGAGAAGGAAGAACCCCCCAGAATTATTTCAGAGCAGTGACTGTCTCTTGATTCTTTAACTCAGTTGTGCCAACAGGAGACAGGACAACTGGATGGAAAGAGATTAAAATTCAGATTAGTTCCCCACCTGCTTCTGCTACTCATGCTGAAAAGCCAAGGAGGCTTTTTGGATGTGGTGATAGGGCAGACTTGCTTGTTGCATCTGAGTCACTCCCTGTAGCCAGACAGATTATTTTTAGCTCCCAATTGTCAATCTTAAGTTTCCAGGCTGGAAAAAGTGAACAGCATTGCTCTGGAAAGAAATCAATTCCATCCATGCTCCTTTGCAGCAGAAGGAGGAGGTGACTCATGACTGGACCACAGTAGTGCCTGGTTTATATACATACTACTGAATATTCAAGATTCTTAAAGTAGAAGTCACCTCCACATCACAGCTAGCTTGGAGCAGAAATGGCCAAACTTACTCAGACAATTCGCAGGAACCAATTTGTTGTTCCCAAAAATCTACAGACAAGATAATCCTGGAAGCAACAAAGAGGTAGGCAGAGCTCCACTCTACATTCTCCATGTGTCTGGTAAATACTCTCAAAGCTTTATCTTCCTTACCCTTCCCTCTGCTCTTATTACAACCTCAGAAACTGGTGGTGAAATGCAATCCCTCCATATTTATAAGGAAGAGACCAAAGACTTCTCTGTTCTATGCTCCTTTCTGGTATTGCACAGGGACTGTGTAACTGGCTGTAAGAGATGTGAAGAAAACAACAACAAAAAAAGAAATTGTCAAAAGATCCCACTTTCCTGGGGAAAGTTATTTGAATTACATGTTTTCTGATGTGGGCTGCATTCCAACGCGTACAAGGGAACAGTGAACACAAGTATCAAATGAAGTCATTCAGAGCCACACGAAAACAGATGGGGATAGCAGTTGCCACTAAGAACTGGTATTCAAATTATCAGCCATGTGTCCATAGACTTCAATACCGTTGATTACAGTACTAGATAGGGTGTCATATGCCAAGCTCCCCTTTCCTGCTGGACTTGCCCACAGTATAATTCACAGCATCCTTCAAGATTCTCCTAGAAATTTGTAAAGAGAACAACTTCTCGAGCAACGTCGTTTTTCAGGAAGGCAAACATCCATTATCCAGTTTTGCTCAGATCTGTTGGCACGTGACTCTTGATAACACAATAGCTAAAGACTAAAAAGGAAAAAACATGGACATGTTGTTTTAGAAAACCAGTGTCAGGGGAAAAAACAAAACAAAAAAAGACCAGCCCTAGCAGTCACCTTATACTTGAAGCACCAACGCTGATATGGGCCTTATTTAAGCCCAGATCAGAATACAGTATGCCACAAGGCTGGAAGTCTTTCAAAGCTACAGAAAGAAGGTAAGTGACCAGCCATTAAGTATGTTACAAGATACTTTCTAAATATAATTCCCTTTAGCAGGGATTTATGAGACCTCTCAAATACCTAAAAAAGCACAGAACTATTAGCATGGCAACGGTGTGGTAACTTGACTTTACATTGCTTAGATGACTTAGAAGAAGAAAAACTCTTTTTGGGTTCAAGAAAAAAACCATGAACTCCCACTACCCTGAAAGGAGTCAGAAAGGCAGGACTAAATAGCATTTGGGGGTACTACTAGTCCAGAGCTGAGAGCACCCCAGCTGGATGATCTCCTTCATTGCTCTCTGTGGTGGACAAGGTACAGCCCTGGTAGGATTTTGTGACCTCCAGTACAGCTGGGACAAACTGGCAAGGATGAGCTGTCACCTAGATTCCGTTCCAGCAGTGTTGTAAGGTAACATGCAATTAAACTCCTGCTGTTCTCAGAGACCAGGTTTCCTTCAGCATCTGTTCTGATACAAAGTAAAGAGAAATGAAAGAAACATCCTGCCTGGCTGCAGAGACACAGGTATTATCCTGTGCCAAGTAACATCACGGGACACTTTGTGGAAGTAGTATATCAAGGCAGCAGGGATGCTAGCAGCTGGGGGTGCAGCTTTGTGGGCAGAAGTACTGGCAGCTACCTCTGGCCAAAAAAAAAGATTGAGGAGGGGGTTTCTGTTTGTTTTTGTTTTGTGTGGTTGTGTTGTTTTGGGTTTTTTTTGCTTTTTTTAAATAGGATTATTATTTCTAGACTCTGCCCTACATGCACCGCAAGACAGGTAGAGTTCCCATATAGGTGCAGGAAAGCTCAAAGAGCTCTGCTTTCAACAACTTACCCCATGGCCTCTTCTTGACAGGTGATTTCATTTGTGCACAGTCTGACAGCAGGGGAGGTGAGCAGTTACTTGGAGAACATACAGCTACAGTGTACAGCAAAAATAGCCAGGCGAGACACATTCTTTATGCAAGACAAGAAGCCTCCAGCAGTGTGAGCCCAGAAATAGGACAGGCCACAAAAAGCAAAAGCAAGCTAGCTGCATCTTTAAGTTATCTCTGTTTTAGATGTCTTGGGGTGATTATTCAGCAGTTGCTGTCACATCTGTTTCTTTTGCATGTGACCAAGCACCGAGTAGGACATTTGCAGTCATTGAGAACAACACGTTTTTACTTAGAGCAGCTCAGTTAGGCCATTACATCAAATAAGCATGAAATTTCCCTTTTAGAAGTCCTTTTGCTCCACCATGTTCCAAGTGCTGGGCAGGTTAGAGCACTTAACTGCTTCCTTCCTCATTTGTATGAATTTAAATAACTTTAAAGCTCTGCCTCCTCTCTCTCCCCATACTTCTACCTCTGCTGAGGTTATATAGCTGTAACTCGAGGTAGCACATAAAACTATATATGTTATGTTGTCCCAGGTGACAGCCCTCAGCATCCACGATGTTTCTTTACTTACTGTTGCTCACTTACATTGCTTTGAGACCAGAAGGCAGATTCATTTCTGCAGAACTGCCAGACCTTTATGAAGTTATGTCCTAATATTATTATGCAACGTCTGTTTTAAAGTGATGTGTTTTGCTCGCTCATTCTTGATCTTTCATTAAGCATTAGAGAAACTCAGCATTTTGCTGCTCTGGAGTTTTCATTTTGGCAAGGGAATCACTATGAGCATGTCAGCTAGGACAGTTGTATGGAGGAGAAAAATAAATAGGGAAAAAAGACACTCATTGATTGCTAGGGGTTGTACAGATGGACAGTAGATGTTTTAGAGAAGTGACAAAGGAAACAGACATTGAACCTGAGGCTGCAGATATTATGCCAGAAAGGAATGAAGATTCTCTTACATGCAGCACTCTGAAATCCAGTACACTTTTTAATACTGTCAGATTTAGAAATTAATTTCCAGTAAGTACATGACAACAAAAGCCTAGAAGAAATTACATTGATTTACTTTGAACTGCATGACAGAGAAGCCTTGTCGGAGTAGGTGAAAGCACAGGCAAATTCCACTTATTAACCAGACTGATTGTCTGAGAGAGAGTTGCAAGCTGTTGTGGGAGGCACTAGTTTTAATAAATATCTGTACAGCACTCACAGTGACAGGGCTCTGGCTCAGAGTAAGAATGGGCAGTCCAGTCCCTATACAACTGGGAGACAGGGCACAACCTAATTTAGTAAAGATCTGGTTTTTTATCAGCAGTCTACTGCAACAGAATTGTAGGTGGAAAAAGAATACTACAGTAGTCCAGATTCATTCTTAAAGGAACGTGCAGGGCAGGTGGAAGAGACAAGGCTGCTACCACCAGCCTGTATTAGCA